TTGTGCTGCCGCGTCTCTGATAGCACCTAAACCCCAACTTTTTAGGTGTAGAAGCGTATTTATGTTGTTATACTTTGGGAGGGCAGCAGGGTTCTCCCCCACCCCCAGGACCATGAGGATGCTGAGCCCGGTGGGTCACGTCCCCTGGCCCATCTGTGTGTTGCAGGGGCTGCTCAGAGCCAGCGGGACGCAGCCTGGCGAAGGCAGGATGGGAGATGAAAATGGGCACCATGTGGCCTGATGCCACGGTGATGAGCAGCAGGGGAAGGGGAGCTGAAGGGAGGGGACAGCCCTGCCCTGCTCCTCACCCAGAGCAGGGGCACCTCGAGTGACTGAAATAGGGAGGATGCTGCTGAGAAACCGCCAATGGGACATGGGTGTTTTGTGCTGGGGAGAGGGAGGGGACAGCTGCCCAGCAGAGGGTGGGCAGAGGTCTCCAGCAAGCCCCCCAAGTACTGGATTTGGGGCTGGCCATATTCCAGGAGTGCAACATGGCTGTCTGGAGGCTGCTGCCCTCTCCCTGCCCGTGCTGTGGAGTCGGGTCCTTCCACTGGGGACAGAGCAGGAGAATGGGGAACACCGTGGTCCTCCACCACCACTGCCACCGAGTCATGGCATGGCCCAGGCCATGGACCCTTCACTGTTGCTCCTCCTGCCCCATGGAGGATGGCTGCAGGCTTGGTGCCATCCAGGGGAACCGTATGGTGGGTAGAAATGTGTGTGGTTGCAGACATCCAAGCGAGAGGCACAACGTCGCCCGTGCTGCACCCGTGCAGGAGGAAGGATGCTGCCCGGAGTGGGGGGAGGCAGCGTGGGGCTGGAGAGATGCAGGGACGCCGGCGCGTTCCCCTCGTGGTGGGGGCCGTCGGGGTGCTTTGCTCCTGCGCTGGGCTCTGACGGGGTCTCTCTGTCTCTCCACATCTCTCCTTCCCTGCTCCGAATTCCCGGGTGCGTTTAAAGAAGTGCTCGAGCTGCCAGCAAGCGGGAGCCACCGTGGGCTGCTGCCAGAAGGGGTGTCCCCACACCTACCACTACGCGTGTGCCGTCGACACAGGTGAGCCCGCCTGAGGGGACAAGGGCTGTGGGGACCCCCCCTCTCCCCCCAGCACCCTCCAACTCGGCTGGCCGCAGGGCTGGCCACTCCACAACTCTCCAGCCCACCCAAGGTCAGGGTGGGCTCACGCCAGCCGGGATGGCGATGCCCCCTGCGCTGGCAGTGCTGGCTGGTGTCCTGAGTTTAGCTGGCCTCAGCTGCACCCCTCACACGAATGGTGTGGCTTATCTGGATGGTGGTGGGAGGCCATGGAGGACGCTGTGTCCCCACCACTTGGGGACAACCATCCAGCAGGGGAAGGACTTCCCTGACATGGCCTTCTCCTCTCCTCACAGGTTGCTTATTAACTGAAGAGAGCTTCTCTCTGAAATGTCCCAAACATAAGGTAAGCCCAGAGCCCCCCCCCAACACCCCCTCAATGTCCTGCAGCCCCCTGGGGTAGGGGGACCTGCTTTCAGACCATGTCCCCTTGGGGACACCCACAGCACACCCACGCTGGGCTCAGCCCCACATAGCACGGGGCATCGCCTTCAGACCACATCCCCTTGGGGACGCCCACAGGACACCCACGTTGGGCTCAGCCCCACATGGCACGGGGCATCGCTTGGGACATTGCGTCCCTGAGGGACACCAGGCCACCCAGGACCCCTCCACTGTGGGGGCAGGCGAGTGGGTGCCAGGTCTGGGACCCCCCAAGCTGGGCTACAGGGCTTTTATCCCCCTTCCCTGGGTGATGATGGGATGGAGGGGGAGGAGGGGGGCGCTATAAATGAACTAAAAGTGCTACATCTTGGGTGGGTACCCACTTCTTCATGGGTGGGTGCTCATGGGGACATCCCCACCAGCCTGGGGACTGAGACCTAGGGGCCACCAACCCCGCAGTGGGACCACCACCGGGCTGACACATCTCCCCCCTCCCACCCCGTTTCTTCCTGCAGAGGCAGCCGGTGTAGCCCCCCCACCCAGCGAGGGACCGGCGGAGGAGGCAGCGCCCCGGGAGCGGAGCGGGGTCCTACCGGCAGCAGCCCCCCTGCAGGTGTGCGCAGCGCTGCCCCTAAACAACATTTGATATTATTTTACATGTTGTGGAAACTTTACTGGGTTTGTGTACTCTTACACGTCTTAGTCACAATCGGGCTGAACGTCCTAACAGACAGATTTTAGGGTTTTACTGATAAACTTTTGAATCAAAAAAATTTAAAAAAAAAAAAAGAGGAAAAAAAAAAAAAAGACAAACAACGGCCTGCTGTTTGAAACACCACTCTGCTTTTTCCGTTTCGTTCTTCCATCTCCTGTTTGCCCCCATCCCCACCCACCCTTGTCTAACCCGGGGTGCCAGCCCCTGCAGCGGGCACCCACCGGGGTGGAGGGCGCTTGGCTGGGCTGGTGGGTGCCCACCGGGCTGCCCCAGCCCCCATCCCTACCTCCAGCCCCCAACCCATTGCACCCACCACCCTCCTGTTCCACGGGGCGCTGGCGCTGCTGGGCTCCTGCTGTTTGGGACCCCAAAACCTCCTCCCTCTGCTCGGTCTTGCCAGCATCTCCTCTTGCTGGGGACAGGCTTTGTTCCCTGTGCTTGTGCAAACCCCATGGCCCTGGGTGGTGAACCCCCATCTCTGGGTGCAAATCCCATGGCTTTGGGTGCTGAACCCGATCCCTGGGTGCAAACCCCATGGCCCTGGGTGCTGAACCCCAATCTCTGGGTGCAAATCCCATGGCTTTGGGTGCTGAACCTCGATTTCTGGGTGCAAACCCCATGGCTTTGGGTGCTGAACCCCGATCTCTGGGTACAAACCTCAAGCCCTGGGTGCTGAACCCTGATCTCTGGGTGCAAACCCCAGGGCTCTGGGTGCTGAAACCCAGGGTTTTATCCTGGAGCAAGAGGGTGCCAGCAGCCCAGAAATGGCTTCCAGGTGGCTGCAGGGTCCTTGCCAGATGAGGAAGAAGAGGCACTTTGTTCCTCCCTCTCCATGGCCCTGCTCTCCCCTCACTGCCCTGGGTGCTGGGTTTGCTCGGCTCCCTCGGTTTTCGTTTCCCTTCCTGGCCACCTGGCTGGAGCTGGGGGGGCTTCCCAACACTGGGATAGTCCCCCACCCATCTCCCAGTGGGGTGCCCCCCATGACTCCCCACTTTATACCACCCACACCCCGGTGCAGGTAGCGAATACCCAACCCAGGGTGAATCAACCCCAAATCCCATCCTAAAAACAGAGTCTCCAGCTGCCCACCCCACCCCTCCCCAACCTGCGGAGCATCCTGCAAAGGGTGGGCACAATGCTGGCCCCCATCTGTCCCATTCTGCCACCCCCCCACCC